GCAGGAGGAGCTGGAAGACGAATACTATGATGTCATGTTCAGAGCCATCATCTCCTCCGTGGAAAATAAAGAAAGCCCCTTGAGCTCCAGGTGCAGCCCCAGGGATCCACCAAGCCCCACCCTGGAGGCAGCTGCAGGCCCCTCAAGGCAGCGCAGCACTTGCAGCGTGAACAAAGACGCCGCAGCAGAGACACCAAAGCACTCTGAGCTTGTGTCTCTTGACCGGTCGTTGGCCGAGCTGGGGCCTGCCTCTGATGACTCCCTGTCCTGCGATGCTCTCGTCAGGGAGCTCCTGGAAAACTGGGACCATGAAGAGCTCCCTGACAGAGAAACAGCAGGTGACAGGGTCAGCGAGTCACAGAGTGCCTCGATGCTCCTGCGGCAAGACAAAGAAGGATGTGTCCTCAGGGATGAGTCAAGTGTCACCCCGCAACTTGTTGCTGGGTCCCAGGGACCGCGCAGCACTTCGGGCATGACCAAAGACTCAGCAGGGGAGGCAGAAATCAACACAGAGATGGCACCTCCTGACCTGTTGGCACACCTGTGCTCTGCCTCTGATGACTCGCCAGCCTGTGATGCTCTTCTAAACGAGCTCCTGCAGAAGTGGGAGGAAGAAGAGCTCCAGGACAGAGCTGCGGCAGGAGAGTGGGACTGTGAGCCAGAGAACGTGTTGTCTCTCTCACTGCAAGACAAAAAAGCAGAGACAGCACCATCTCGTCCAGTCAGTGATCCCTGCGAAGAGGAGCACAGTCAATCTCTCCCTATGGCACTGCCTGAAGAGGCAAAGGTGTTTGAGGTTTTCTCCTCACCTGCTGATGCCATAGACAAGAACGACCCATCATGGATGCAGGCTGACTGTGCCCAGACCGTCCCTCCCCAGGAAGAGCCCTGTGTGGCCACAGCTCCGGCAGAGGCTTTCCCGGTGCCTGCCCAGGCCCTGGCACCCAGAGTTCCTGCTGGCCCCGCTGGCAGCGCAGCCGTCCCGCAGCCCCCGGCCCCACGGCCATGGCGCTCCATGGCCAAGACAGCCCGGCGGGCTCTGCGCCGGCTTTTCTCCTTCAGCTGCCTCAGGGGACAGCCAGAGGAGTGAGCCCAGGGCCAGCAGCAGGATAATGGCCTAAGATGCCGGCTCACACTGAGAACGCCCAGCCCTGATATTTCCCTCTTTCCTTCTCACCCTCCTCTTTCCTATCCCTTCCAATCTCTCTACCCTACATTTATTGTTAAATAAAATCCTCATTGTTAACTTTGCTAGATGGTCTCCGTGGCACCTTCATTCACATAAAGACATCTCTGACAAACTGCATTTCCACAGGAGCACACATCTGCACACAGCACTCCAGGTGTGGCCTCACCAGTGCCCAGCACAGAGGGACAATCACTGCCCTGCTCCTGCTGGCCACACTACTGCTGACACAGAAGGCCACGAAGCCACTGGCCTCCTTGCCCACGTGGGCACACACCAGCCAACTTTTGGCTACTGTCACCCAGCACTGCCAAAGCCTTTTCTGCTGGGCTGCCTTCCAGTCACTCTGCTCCCAGCTTGGGGCACTGCAGGGCCTTGTTGGGATACAAGGGCAGGACCATGACTTGGTGTTGTTGAACCTCATCCTGCTGGCCTCACACCATCAATCCTGCCTGTCCACATCCTCCTGCAGAGCCTTCCTACTCTGCAGTACATCAACACTCCCAGCCACCTTGGTGTTTTCATCCAAGTGCTCTACTTGGCTATTGGCCTTAAAAACACTGGGGAGTGCAGCCATCAATGCCACTACCTCTCACATGCTAAATGAGCACACTGGCAACTGAGGTAATTCCCCTTTTGACTAAACAAAACTCATTCACACACTTTTCCCTGGACATGAGTTTAAGGCAGAAGTGAAAACATAAACATCAGGTCCTGCCTATGCATTTGCTTTTTCAGCAGTACAGAGAGGTGAATGGAGACTTCCCTCACTGGTACAGGAGCCTCTCCAGATACCTACAGGACACCCAGAGAGGCACCGTGCTGGGTTTGGGTGGGATAGAGCTGAGTTAATTCCTAGTAGCTACTATCAAGAATGTGAGCAAATAATGAGGGCAAGAGCCTCCCCTCCTAGCTCCGCTCTGCCCAGCAGAGTCTTGGGTTGGGAGTGGGGTGCTGGGTCTGGGCTGGCCAGAGCGTGCTGTGGTGGGGGTGAAGACAGTGGAGCAGGGTCACTCCTTGAGCTGTTGCTCATTACGGAATTACCCACAGCAGCCTTGGAGTGGCTCGGAAAAGCCTGCAGAGGAGCTGCTCCAGCACTGCCTCTACTTCCCAGTCTGGACTAAGAACCACCAACAAACCAGCATTAATCCCTCCCTCAGCCCAGTCTGCCCCACTGGGGCCAGTCCCTGCATTCTCCAGGCTTTGCAGCAGCCAGAGTCTCTCCCATCCTGGGGGGCAGGATGGCATATTGTGCCCACATCCACTGGCACATGGTGCCCATGTCTATCACCAGACCTTGTGCACTCCCAGACCCCCTAGCCCACAGCAGTGTCAGCCTGGCTGTGTAACACTCATTGCACACAGAGTTCACTGGGGACATGGGCTGTCCCGGTGGAACTTCACCATTTTCCAGGTGACATCCCACACCCCCTCACACTGGAGTCCCATGTGCTGGGCAGCCCTTCACATCCCAAGAAGGGGCTAGGGGCAGCCACCCAGCAGGGCCAGAGAAAAGTTTCAGCAGGACAGTGCCCAAATCCCGGGGACAAGGGTGGTTGGTAATAGTATTCTGTGCATTTGTGCAGCAGTGTCCCTGTCCTGACACCTGGGGTGGCACAGGGTCACCCACTGCTTCTGAGAGCAGAGGATCTGTGCCAAGACAATGGGGAACCCACCCTAGAGAGGGAAGCAAGTTGCCAGGAGGAATCCTGCAGGTTACAGTGGCAGATTAAATGGATGCAGACAGGTAAGGAAGGCACATCAGGGCAGGAGGATGGGGTTTAGTTCCATTTGCCTCCAAAAGGACTCAGCTGGCACTGAAGGAAAATGGGGCCTGGTCCCATGAAATCTCCCAGCAGCCTGTGAGCACGGGCTGAGGGGCAGAGGAAGGGACTGTTTCCTCCCTCCCTGCATGGCCTTAGTAGGGAGATCATAGCCAGCACACAAGAGCCTGAATTTCCAAGCAGCTCCCATCTCCACTTCTGGGTTATTTCTGGAAGCAGACACTGCCATCCCTTGGTTTGATCAAAGAATCACAGAACAGCTCAATTAGTAAGTGACCTATATGGATCATCAAGTCCAGCTCCCTGCTCTACATAGTGCCTCCAAAAACTGGACCATAGGACCAAGAGCACCATGGGCTCCTGGCAGGTCTCTCTGCTCCCCCTCAGGTTTTTCAGGTCAGGAGACCAGGCAAAAAAAACGGTAAAAAAGAGCTGAACAAGCTTTAGCCTTGAGGTTTCCAAGAAACAAACATTTCCTTGGGAGAAAAGAGAAGGGGATGGCAGCACAAGCTGGACTCAGAGTCTCAGACAGAGGCTGACCAACCCCAGCAGCAGCACAGCCTCAGGGCCAGAGAAGGGTTGGGTGTGCTCAGCCCAGTCATTCACAGCCTCCCTTCTCCTGCCAGGGCAGCCCCTGTTCCCTTTGTCCCTTCAGAGGAGACAGTGACTCAGAGAGGCAACTACACCTGGCAAGCTCTCAGTGGCAGAGGGGGAAAAAAAGCAGCTTTGAGGAGCTCAGAGGTGCCTTCCCACCACCAAGGGGCCCACGGGAAGTACCTGAAACTCTGCTGAGAACTGAACAGAATCTCACAGTGCTGTGACTGCAGGTCCATTCCCACAGCTGAAATCCTAGAGCAAAGCTGAGATGGTCAGTGAGCACCTAAAAACCAGCTAAGAAGACAAAATCAGGTTTAAGAAGCATACCAGGAATAAAAATCAATGAAGACAGCATCAGGTAGGCACTAGGTTAGTGCATCTGGCTCATTTCTGCAGACAGGGAAAGTTCATTAACAGCCTTTGTGTGGTTTTGAATTCAGCAAATAATTCCTGTCACTTACCCTGGGCAGCCTGACCGAACCAGGGGAGGAAAGAAGGAACCTGAAAGTTACAGATATGGAACTCAAAAGGGGACACATAACAGCAGAAGCTGTTTGAGAAAAGAGAACATTCTCAGAGAAAACCCCAGGCAATTATTCTTTACAGCACACAGAAAGGATGCAAGTCAGCACTAAAATCATCATTCTCAAGTATCAAGTTACACAGGTAAAAGAACAAACTACAGAAGCCAGAGTATCAATATATATCAATATAGTGTTTAATGTTCTTAAATTGATACAAAAGCTAAAAAAGTAAAATTTCTGTTACCATATGACAAAAACTTTTATCAGCAGAAATATTATACAGTCATAAAATTTCTAGTCATAATATTTTCCAGTTGTTTATACCTTTCTATCTAGCCCTATACTGGTTATATATTTATTAAGAAAAGTAGCAGCCCATTTTGTCCTTCTATTTACAGTCTTTTAGACACTGTTTTGCAGTCTGCACTGATGCAGATAAAACTCTTCTGCACAGATTTATTGTTTTACTTGCAGATAAATGTCATCAGTGGAAAAATCACTGTGCATCTGGCACCAATCAGGGAATGCTGCTCTGGAGACTCCTCTCCTGCAGCCCCTGGTCTTCACTCCAGGGATTGAGGAGGGGTTTCACGACTGTGCAGAACTTAAAAATGAAGCAGCAATTCCTCTGATTGCAGAAACAGAAACTGAAGGGAGGAGGGGCAGAGATTGGTCTGCACAGGGATTGAGAGATGCTTCCAAAAGCAAGTATAATATATACAGGAATTAAATAAATTAATGTTTCAGATAAAAAAAAATTAATCAATTTCACTAACTGTTCCAAATGCCAAGTGCTGTGCATTGTTTTCAAAGAAAAAATACATTTAAAACCTAAAATATTCATTGGAAATACCTTGTTTCATCTGAAAGAGCTTTCAGTGCTGTTGGGGAGAGCCTGTCTGTGCCTGCATTTTAAAGAAAACAGCCCCAGAAATCCCACCAAGGCTAAGGGACACTGCCCACCTACAGCTCTGAGCTCAGAAAGATGATCACAGTGACAATTCTCTAAGTCCAAGCACACATGGTTTTTTTCCTTTCAGTGCCCTTTTCCATCTCTTAAAGGCTGTGAAGACATCATAAAATCCTTTTTTTAAGCAACCTTGCACTGCTGAGAGAGAGCTCCCATGGAATTAGTGAGCTGGCTCTGGTGTTCCCAACATGACCTGCCCCAGGCAGGCAACCCGGACCCTCCACACCACCTCATGTCCAGTTTGAAGACAGTGACCTGTCTTCTCCCATTTCTGTTCCTTTACCAAATGTGCAGGAGCAGGACAAGGTGTGAGGGGAAGATTTGCTTTGATTTCCATTTTCTACAACACAGGGATGGAAACCAAATAAATACATGACAATAACACTGGCAGGTCGTTGAAATAGATGCAAAATGCTGAAGTAAACAGAGTCCCAGGTGTTTACCTTTCCCCAGAGAAGGCAGACACATTTGGAATAGTGTGATTATCCAGCCTTCCAAATGGCAATCTTCCCTTCTTCCTTCCCAGAGCCACTGAGGACGTACCTGTCCTCAGCTGAGCACAGCGCCTTCACCGCATCGGCGTGGCCGACCAGCTCCTTGTCCACACTCTTCCTCTCAGCACTGACCACGTAGATCTTCCCTTTGCTCTTGCCCTGCAGCCTCCCACTGCTGCCAACCCACAGCTGGGGGAACAAAACAAACCCACAGCCATTTTCACTACTTCACATTTCAGCCCAGGACACAGTCAAGGAGGTTTATGTGGCACACTGGTACAGTGAGGGTTCCCTCATGCTTTCCCAGAAAAGGGAAACACTGAAGATTTCCTCATCAATAAGGGGCTTGGCCACCATTGCTCCTGGCCCCCTTCAGGTCTCCTCAGCTGCTGTGGCATGAGCTGAGGGCTCCTGGTGGGTGTCTCTGCTCCCCTCTGGTTCCCTCAGTTCAGAAAACCCCCTGTATCCCACACTGGAATGTTCAGCTGCCAATCGTGCCAGCACCAGGGCAACTCTCCCTTACCCCTGTGTAAGGCACAGTGTGCTCTTGCACTGCAAGAGCAGAGAAAATCCAGGGAAGAGCAACTAAAATTGCCAAGAGAAAAGAACAGCTGTCATATGGGCAAAGATCATTAAATGGCTTGGGTTGAAGGGGACTTTAAAGATCTTGTTTTATCCCCCTGCCATGGTCAGGGACAGCTTACACGAGACCAGGCTGCTCAGAGTTCCATCCAACCTGGCCTTGAATGGAATGGGGCAGCCACAGCTTCTCTGGGCACTCTGTGCCAGGGCTCACCACCCTCACAGGGAAGATGGAAAAGCCAAGACTCCTTAGGTGGAGAGAGGGCAGCTAAGGAGCCTTTACAAAAGGGTTACAAACTAACAGAAGTGCAGATAAGCTGAATGTAGAACCACTCTTCCACCCTGAAATTAAGGAAGTCGGAGTCATGTGGGAACCAGTAATAGTTCAGTTTCACTGAGAACAAAGTACTTCTCTGTACAGGACTGGCAGTGAAATTCATGAACCTGCTGCTCTGCAGGGAACTGTGGCACCAGCAAGTCCAAAATGAAACCACAGCCACAGAGATTGGGTCAAATAATAGGTAATAAAAGACACAGGCCTAGGTGCCAGACAGAACACATCCTATTTCAGATAGACATAGCATGCAGCTGGGTTTCTCTCCAGTTTCTTAGAGAAAAACAATGGCTTGTTTTTAATTAAAGCCTGACAGCCCTACCAATGTTGTTGTCAGCCTTTGCCAGGCTGCAAGTTCATTCTCCATTACTCACTGGTGTGCAGAAGGAACAGGAGTGCAAGTGGTGGCACAGGGTCTGCTTGGAGCCTGTCACTAGTGGTGTCCCCCAAGGGTTAGTACTGGGCTCAGTATTCTTTAACTTATTCATAAACTACTTAAAGAAGAGAAGAAAAAGAAACAAAGCTCTTCAGTAGAACAAGAGAGCTTAATGCCTTGGGGGTTCCAAACAATCTTCTCACTCCCTTGAAACAGAGGTTAATATATTAATCTCTGCCTTGGGGAAGAATCCTAAAATGATTTTCCATTTTAGTACAGAAGTCTAACCAGAGGCTGAATACAGAGAAAAGTTCTCTACTCCATTAAGAAAAAAAATCATTTTTGAGGAAGGAAGGAGGAAAAATATGAGAAAAGGATTCCAAAAGTTGCTTTCCCAGTAGATATATATTAGCTATTTACTTGCAAAATAACCTTGAATGGGCCCCTATGGTAGCACAACTACAATAATTTGCACAGCTCCTGATACCACATAGAATCAGGTACACAGAGGCCAATAGTGACATGGACACAAGATGCCAAGGCAGGAATCCACTGGCTCCTTTGTCTGTCCTCAATTAGGAATGTGGTAACTCATCAAGGAAAAGGTCATCTACAAAAACAGGCCAATTTACTGGCATTTCTCATTTGTCTGGTAACCTTTTTTAAAGGCTTAGTCTGAAAATTCCTGAGATAAAATATCAAAGGACCTAAACTTTCAGTTTCTACAGTTCCCTGGAAATGTCAATGGCTGATATATGTCACCATACATTCAATTACTGATAAGGGGCTTGGCTTGTCATGCATTTTGGGGTACACCTGCAACACAGCCATTTGGTGTTGGGCAGTCTTTAGCATCTCTGATTTCAAAGAGGAATCAACATTCCAAACCTTGTGTACTTATGTACACACCCAGTGAGGAAACAATGACAGCCCATGACAGCTGCAAGAAAACAAAACTTCAGTAAAGAAATCCACAAGACACAAAACCAGCCCAGATGTCTCTCACCTGATTTTTAACTCTTATCATACAAGTAATCTCAGAGCAATCCTGAAGATGAATCTTTTGAGGTGTACTTGAAAGGTCTTTGCTGTTCCAAACGTACAGGTCACTACTCCCAGAGTAAGATGCCCACACTTCATCTCTCTAAGGCACAGAAAAATACATTTAAGCACTGCTGACTGAAAATGTATCAAAATAACCAGGGCTTGTAATGACACAGTTTAAAGGAGGCAGGGCCATGTGGCAACAGAGAAAGTGCAATACCTCAGGAAAGAGCTGGAAGCCAAGGAAAGAGGAACACACATCCCTCAGGTGGTGCTCGATTTTCATCTGCAGTTGAAACTCATGAATTGACACTACAAGAATGCAACTTCTTGTACCTTCAATATTAAAGATACAGAGTTAGTAACAGAGGTACCCACTTCTTCCATCTCTACAAAACAAGGATGAAAAAAGCAAAATAAAACGGAACACTCAACAATTGTGTTGTTTCTTTATGAAGATGATTTTTGTAATTATTATGATTTGTGGAAGGGACTTACAGCACCACAGTTGGTCATCATGAAGCTTCATAGAGGTGAGATTTTGGCAGGGCAGCTGAAAGACACGGTTCACTTTGAGAGTGCTGATGTTCCAAGCAATCACCATTCCATCTAAACTGCTGGAATATGCTTCACTGTTGGCACAGATTAAAAAAAATAAACAAGTATAGTGTGCATTCATGTTCAGAAAAGAGTGCACACACATAAGAGACTTACTTGCAAAATAACCAATTTTACACTAAGCTAAATTAAGGTTCATTTTTAAATTATCTTCAAGATTATCCTTTATCAACTCTGTATCAACTAGAAACACTGCAGGCTAACTCAGAGCTCAGTGAATGAGACCACGTTACATCATGCATGAGGAGTAGAGCACAATGAAACACTCCTTATAATTCCTCTTAACAATGTTGCCTGATTAATTTTCTCTTGAATTAGAACAAAAATATTTCAAACTGTTCTTATTTGTTACTGCACCTGAGAAAACAAATTACACTATTCCTTTTCTTTTTACGTTTAACATTTGCTGTCTTAGAAGGAGCAAACCTTTTTCAGAAGGTTCCAACAACACTTAAACAAATTCTTCCTGAAACCCAGTAACACCTGGCAGACCTATTGACCTTGGAGTTGCTTTTCCCATGGGAGGACAGCAGGTTAAGACCTTCAGCCAACACTCTTCCCACTGCTACCAAAAGATCAAAAGCATTTTGCCTGAACAGAACAATAAATGTATTATTTATTTTATAAACAGGCAGGAAAAATCCAGAAGCTTGCTGTAAACATGTAGTCAATGACGTGCTCAAAGCAAAAGTGGTCTTTAAACTGCATCTGTATCAATTTTTCACTGGATGCTGCCAATTCCTGGCTGTTCTCATCCTCATCCAAAAGAGCATTCCTTTATCCTCTTTGTTCCAAACTACACAGTGCTCTTTATTTAAAAAGGAAATTCTTAGTTGACATACACAATATGGGAGCTACAAAAATGAGCTAAATGAAGACTTTATTAGCAGGATAAACCCTCCCATTTAAAACAATAAATTCTTTCAACATCTAGGAAAATCAAATTAGATCTACCTGGGTGTTCCATTCTTCTTCTCCACAATGATGTCTGTAACATCAGAGCGATGATCATTCAGTTGTTTATTACAAGACATACTGTGGGTGTTGATTATATAAATAATGGAATCCTGAGAACCAATCCACACTTGACTCTGTTCCACCATGACCATGCAAGTCTGGGGAGAAAAAGCTGGGTTAAATAAAGCCTAGAAGAGAAATCAGTCTTTAATGTAACATGGAAAATGCTGTATTCAGATGCTACAGTTTGCTGGTGATCAGTGTAGAAATGAAGACTTGGCTCTCCAGTGTTCTACCCTTTGCTCTGCTCTATAAATAATGAGAGAACAGATCTCTCTGCAAAGTTTATCCTTCCATAAATAGGATTAATAATTTATCTTAGGGACTGACTAAAGTTGTGCTTCCTGGCCCAAACAAAGTAAAAGTTACAGAGGGCATCAGGGGAACCACAGAAATTAGTGTGCTCCTTTCCTCTGGATTGGAAGCCAACCTAATTGTCCAATATATCCACACTTCCTACTTCAGCTAAAAGTAGTGTTTAAGAAACTACTGTCTCCTCTACTGTCTCTGGAATGTCCTTCCCCCTCCATCACACACTCTTCATTTATCTTCCTCCAGCCATCACTTGAATTTTTTTTGTCTTCTTTTAGGTATCTGACTCTTCTGGAATTCTATCTTTCCTCCACCCAGCTCTTCACCACCAGTTTTACCCCTCCCTTTTTGACTCACCCCCACACTCATCCACAGTGATCTCTTATCTTTCACACAAGTGACATGTCCAGTCCCTTTTCCTGTGTGTTCTCTCTATTGTGTGTTTTCCACCCACGCTGCAAGCCTGGTTCAGATTCCCTTTTCACAGAGAGAATTACTCTTTCAGGTGTCTTTCACAAACCACTCCTTTTCACCTGCTGGTTGAGGCACTCTTTTAGAGCTCTATTCCTCTCAAATGCATCTACCTGGTTTCTTTATACCTCTTCCCAATCTCCAGTTCTTCAGTATGGGTGAATTTTTATCTATTCCTAGGATTCCCCTTCTCATCTTCTCTTTGGGTTAATTGTCTTTTACTCTTTCTCCTCAACTGTTTCAACCTTGCTTTCCTGCCCCAAGAACCCATCAGGCCCTCCCAAGTCCAATCCATCACTTCTCACCAGTTGATTTGTTTTATTATTAATCCATTTAGCCTCGTTTCAGCTTTTCTAGAAAATCTCCAGTTTTCCAGGTTAACTGAAGCCCAAACAACTCCATAACTTTTAAGGAACGATGTGATTTGGGGTCAGACAGGCTACAGCAACAAAACCACAACCAGCTGAAGCAGGGCCTGTGATCCTGTGCCAGTCTTACCAGTTTAGAGCAGCCCATTTTGAAGCAGTGTTGCTGGATAGACCAGGTAGAGGCATCAAAAACCACCACCTTCCCCTCATTTAAAGCACACCAGAGTTTTGGATGAGCATTATCCAGTCTTTCTGAAGGGTCAAGATGCCCTAGAAATAAAGTAGAGAAGATGAGAGAGGTAAAAGAAAACAAAATACCTTTGGAGACCTGTGGCAAAGCCATTATTAGGCAGAGCAGGTTTGTAATGAAATGCATCTTCTGGAATTTACATCATCAATTATTGACTGACACAGTTCTCACAATGCATTTGTCCTTGTTATTCTCTACTTGCTGAGTTCACCCAATGATTTAATCTTATACTCCAAAGATACTCAGAGCAGAGATAATCTCATTGATGACTAAGAGCTGAGCTCACTGGGATTGCAGGAAGGCTTTTAAGCCCTATAAATACAACTAATAAATCCACTCACTCTTGTCTACTCCATCAAAGCCTCTCATACAAGAATGAAGGAAGGAGGAGGAAAGAAAGAAGGAGGAGGAAAGAAAGAAGGAGGAGGAAA